CTCTAATGATAGAGTTGTTAGAACCGAAAATAATTTGGTTGATAAGCCAAATATCGATGGTTTAGAGATCCTCCGTTTGTTGATTTCCCAGACTGTGTAAGGAGTCAATCCTCCTTTTTCTGCTTCTGGAAGATTTGATCGAAAGATCCCCCTCCGATTAATGAAAAGAAATCTCTCTTGATCTGATTATCAAAAATCCGATCTCCCCAATCCCCAAAAAGAGTCCTCCACTCTGTTGAGTTTGTTGCTATAGGAGTCAATCCTCCTTTTTCTGATTCTGGAAGATTTGATCGAAAGATCCCCCTCCGATTAATGAAAAGAAATCTCTCTTGATCTGATTATCAAAAATCCGATCTCCCCCAATCCAAAAAGAGATCTTTTACTCTGTTGAGTTTGTTGCTATTTATAGGGGGATTAGGGGTGTAACTGCCCCCATAATCCGCGCCTAAATGGGGGTTTAGTTACCCCATTAGTCGGGTGTAACAACCCACTAAAGCCACTCCTCAAATCGTGGGTGAAGAACAGCTTCGAAGTTGTTACGATCACGTTTGAATGAGTCAGAACCTTGACCTGCGTTCTGGCGGTGATTGAGCTGCGTTTGGCAGCGACTGACGGGCTGCGTTGGGCAGTGATGGATGAGTTGCGTCGGCAGCGGTTGATAAACTGCGTTGGGCAGCGGTTGATAAGCTGCGTTGGGCAGCGATGGATAAGCTGTGTCGGCAGCGGTTGATAAGCTGCGTTGGGCAGCGGTTGATAAGCTGCGTTGGGCAGCGGTTGATAAGCTGCGTTGGGCAGCGATGGAGCTGCGTTGGGCAGCGATGGAGCTGCGTTCGAGCTGTGCTTGGCAACGATTGGAGCTGCGTTCGAGCTGTTGATTAGATTTCTCTGTCTTTATATATGGATGACACCAAAGACCAGTAAAGAAGGTCTTATTCAGGCCATTTGTGATAATTGAGGCATCTCAATAACGCTTTATCAACTGCAGGTCATGATCTCCACTGAGTGTGTCGAATATCATTACACTGCTCATCAGCACCTCTAATGGTTGCTAACATGATATCAGTCATGTTGTTGTCGCAGCCATCAAGATCAATCATCTCACATAAGAAGCTGCATTCGTGTTTATAACTGTTGAAGCGGCGTAGGTGATCAAATTGGTGTTGTGTCTTGATGATGATACGCGGGGAGGACTTCCACGTCTTGGTTTGAAGAGATCGTCGATTTGTAATCCTTTCTGTCAGAGTATTGCTAAAGACTGTCATTTTGTAATCTTTGCTTTAACTCTTTGACATGTAAAAATCTTCGAATTGTAGCCTTCTGGAAGTCGTCAGATTGTAACTTCCATCATCAGTGTTTGATGACGACTCAGCTATCCATTGTGATTTTTAGACAGCCTACACCTTAGGTCAACGTCGGTCAACGCATTGTGACCAAAAGTTAACGTCGGGCGATCCAAAATCTTAGGTCAATGCCAGTCAACGCCAGTCAACACGTTGTGACCAAAAGTCAACATCGGACGATCCAAAACCCTAGGTCAACGCCAGTCAACGCGTAACCCTAGGTCAACGCCAGTCAACGCGTTATGACCAAAAGTCAACATCAGACGATCCGAAACCCTAGGTCAACGCCGGTCAACGCGTAACCCTAGGTCAACGCCAGTCAACGCGTTGCGACCAAAAGTCAACATCGGGCGATCCGAAACCATAGGTCAACGTGTAACCCTAGGTCAACGCCAGTCAATGCGTTGTGACCAAAAGTCAACATCAGACGATCCGAAACCCTAGATCAATACCGGTCAACGCGTAACCCTAGGTCAACGCCAGTCGACGTGTTACGATCTGAAACCCTAGGTCAACACCGGTCAACACGTAACCCTAGGTCAACGCTAATCAACGTGTTGCGATCCAAAACCCTAGGTCAACGCAGGTCAACGCGTAACCCTAGGTCAACGCTAATCAACGCGTTGCAATCCGAAACCCTAGGTCAATGCCGGTCAACTCGTTGTGACAAAAAGTCAATGTACGGCGATCTGAAACCCTAAGTCAGCACGATGCAACGGAGATAGTCAGTTCTAAGTCAACTCAATGACACGAGCCAAACTCAACTCATCAGTTTTAGATTCGAGACTCCGACGACGGCCAGACGATAAACGCAACGCCGAAAGAACTTTAGCTATTCGTCAAAAACATCGAACAGATTGAAAATCGGAGGAGTCAAGAATTGAAGCTAACTACAGGTCCTTTACGCCGACCGAAGGCTGGACCAATCGCATCCAAAGTATTCTAGCTCCTTCTATAAAAGAAACGAGGCTGGAACGCTTTGGAGGGGGTATCTGTAGGCATCGAAAATTGCCTATAGCAAAAGAAACGAGGCTGGAACGCTTTGGAGGGGGTATCTGTAGGCATCGAAAATTGCCTATAGGTCTCCATGAATAGCTCGGTGTTAAGAAAAGACGATGAACGTCACTATCCAGTTCACAGAAGCTTGATTGACGTCGATGAACGTTTAAAGTGGATCGACGAACTATGTGAAGTAACGGGGTTTCAGAATAACGAGGATACGAACTGATCGGGAACCCCGCGTCGCTTACAAAAGGTGAAACGCCGCTCGTATCCCGGTTTAATCCATAATGATCTAATCATCGGAGCTTATAAATCTCCTTGTCGGCTTTCCAGCACAATTCAAATCACTCAAATCAGAGTCCGGATGAAGAAGTTACAGCGGAAACGGACGAATATGCAAAAGAAAATAGCGTCTCAGCCTGAGTTGAGACACCCCGAGGTGTCTCGGCCCAAGCGAGACACCCCAAAGTGTCTCGGCCTCGCTAAGACACCCTTGGGTATCTCCAGCCCTAAAAATCGGCCGTTATGCGGTTTTAACCGCCTGGACTTCCTTGGAGCCTATAAATACAGCCCCAGGACCCTCATTTTTTTCAGATCTGGAATTTTGAAGAATTGGCGAAGCCCTGCCGGATTGAAGATTGATCGAGTTCTTCAACACGGGAGAGAAATGTTCTTCAGATCTACATCACCCGTGTCCGTTCCTTAGGATTATCCCGTTGCGGTAATCTTAAGAAGAGTAATTATCTCGCCGTTGTCGAGATAAGCGCTTCTGCTTCTAGATTCCTTCGCGAATCGACGGAGTATTGGATCTGATCTGATTGCCAGGTAGTCCACGGATATCGACATCCCCGTCACCGGCCAAAAACTCACGCAAGCAAGAGACGACGAACGGATCTTGCGTTATTTTCGAGAGAGTTGTAACCCTTTATTTCTTTCTTTTGTTGAGTAATTGAATTCTTTGTAAACAATCAAAATTATAATGAATTCAGCAATGAAGGCAACTTTCAGCGAAAACAGAAAGGAGGTTCTTTATCATCATAATAACACTTTAATTGAACATTACTATTAATGATTAACCTACTCTAGGTTTATATTAGCAAATTGTGTTCAGTTTGTTGAAGATAAAAGTTTATAGAATATTCAAACTTGTATGAAGAATCCATGTGGGTTACGATAATGGATTCGGATCTTATATATGGAAATAATCTCATGTGTTCGTTACACGTCTACGTTAATAAATGTAAAAATGAGAACATTTAATATAAAATTAAACGTTATTCACCAGAACATTAAAGCTGATCTTTTATAATTTTCTTAGTACAAGTCACATGCCTTCATCCTTAATTTGGTCATAAATTCAATCATACATTAATTACACTTTTTTAATTAATTTTTTTCATCGTGAACTAACAGTAATCTGCTTACTATATAACGTTTCTCTATTACAACTCACAAGCAAACATGACTAAGACATGACTGGAAATTTAAGACCCAAACATTATACTTAAAAGGGAATCAAGGCTACCAAATTGTTCTTAGAAAAAACAAAATAAAAATTCTATAAATAAATCAAAATAAAAACAAGTACGAAATGGTGATCACGGGGGCCACAAAGAGCATGCTGGACAACTCTTTCTTATATCAGCTAAGACATGACTATGTCTTTACAAGACAACTATATAGAGATCTACAACACTTGAAAATTTCTTTGAGGCTTAGCAGCACTATTTATTTTCACTAGTTTTATCTTCCGGAGAAATTAAATGCTTTGATAACTAACTCTCTATATTTTACTTTTGTCATGTCTCTTATTTAGTTTGTTTTTGCCCTTTTCCTTCTTTCGTACTGTTTATTTGCTTTTATATATATTTTATTATTTTCAGATACGCCTCGTTAAATTTTTATTAATGAATTAATGAGGCGTTGCAAGTGTGAAGTGTCCCGTTGTCTTTTCTTAAAAGGGGGAAAAACTATACTATCACCCAATTGCAAACGGAGCGTTCAGAGTGATTTTTTAATTTTATTTATTTTTACCCTCGAGACGTGTATCCACAACAATAGAAATACTAATAGTTCTACTGGCAGCTAACGAAGACAATAAATTAATAAGTATATAGTTGTCCTCATGAAAAAGTCAATTTGAAATATAAATTAAGGCCCCCCTCTCTATAACTTTACCCCCATTTGCAGCACGTTTCCCTCTTACGTCCTTTTCATTGCCCACCATTCAAATTCACTAAGGGGGTTATTGGTGGACAAGTTGGGGCTAAATGGGATAATTGTTTCGATCAATTGAATAATTTTATCTTTTTGGGATATTTTGAGTGGTGTAAAGTGGGACAAATTTAGGATAATTGGACAATTTGAAGTTTTGATTTGATAATTCATGTGAGATAATTGATGATGTGACACCTTATTGGAACAATTATCCCACTTAGCCCCAACTTGTCCCAACCAAAATATCACAAAGAGATAATTGATGTGACACCTTATTGACACCTCTCTATAACTTTACACCAGTCAAAATATATCCAAAGAGATAAAATTGTTCCATTAAAACAATTATCTCACTTAGCCCCAACTTGTCCCAACCAATAACTCCCCCAGACTATATATTTTACTCCCTCCCTGCCTCCCTCCCTCCCTCCCTCCCTCTCCCCAACAAGAATCTCCTCTTATGCTGTGCTAACCTTTATATGTTAAACTAACATGCATCATTTTTTGAGATATTTGAACTACCTAGCATGATTTTGTCACGTATCTCAACATATGGATTGCCTTCAAGGTTGGCCCGAGCCAATTGTCCGAGTCCAATCCTTATCCGAAACCAAGTCAACCGTTATCCCTCCGAGGTACGTCAAACCCCCCTCCCAACGCCCATCATCATCTCCGGCCGTTGACCTCAGCATCCCGGTAGTCGATTTCAGCCGCTGCGACGCGATCACCGCCGTCTCCGACGCCTGCAGAGGCTGGGGATTCTTCCAAGTCGTCAACCACGGCGTCGATCCATGCCTTATGAGGAGAGCTAGAGAAGACTGGAGACAATTCTTCCACCTTCCAATGGAAGAGAAACAAGTATACGCGAATACGCCAAAAACATACGAGGGATACGGTAGCCGACTTGGTATCGAAGAGGGAGCTATACTCGATTGGGGTGACTACTATTATCTCCACCTCCTCCCTTTGTGCCTCAAAAGCCACCAAAAGTGGCCCTCACTACCTCGATCTCTAAGGTACACAATTCTTCTGTACTTTTTTTGCTCCATAGGAGAGTTCTGCGACTTAATAATTACATATATATTTCAGCAGAGCGACAGTTGAAGAGTACGGAGAGGAATTAATAAAATTTTGCGGGCGAGTAATGAGAGTACTATCATTGGGGTTGGGGTTGGATGAGGGGCATTTGCAAACAGCGTTCGGCGGTGAGAACTGTGGGGTCTGCACGAGGGTAAATTTCTACCCGAAGTGTCCACAGCCTGAGCTCACCCTCGGCCTGTCGTCGCATTCGGATCCTGGCGGGATCACCGTGCTCCTCCCCGACGATCGGGTCAAGGGGCTTCAGGTTCGACGAGGCGATGCTTGGGTCACGGTCAAGCC